CAGAGGGGTATTAAAATCTCCTACTATGATTGTATTGCTATGAATCTCTCCCTTAATGTCCTCCAGCAGTTTTTTTATGTATTTGGTTGCTCCTGTATTGGGTGCATATATATTTACCAGGGTAATTTCTTCTTGTTGGATTGTTCCCTTTAGTATTATGAAGTGGCCTTCATTATCTCTTATTATGTCCTTCAATCTGAGATCTAATTTGTCAGATATAAGTATTGCTACCCCAGCTTTTTTTTCATTTCCATTTGCCTGGAAAACTTTTTTCCATCCCTTCACCCTCAGTCTGTGTGCATCTTTTTTTCTGAGGTGGGTTTCTTGTAGACAACAGATGTATGGGTCTTGTTTTCTTATCCAATCTGTTACCCTATGTCTTTTTATTGGAGCATTTAAACCATTTACATTTAAAGTTATTAATGATAGGTACTCATTTGACGCCATTTTTAATCTATACCCATGTTCCTTCTTCACTTAATATTTCTTTATTTTTACAGTAGACCCCTTAGCATTTCTTGCATTGCTGGTTTGGTGGAGATAAATTCCTTCAGTCTTTTTTTGTCTGTGAAGCTCCTGATTTCCCCTTCAATTTTGATTGATAGCCTTGCTGGGTACAGTATTCTTGGATTCAGACCCTTTCTTTGCATGACTTTGTATATTTCATCCCATTCCCTTCTGGCCTGATAAGTTTCCGTTGAGAAATCAGTTGCTAGTCTGATGGGGGTTCCTTTGTATGTAACTTTCTGTCTCTCTCTGGCTGCTTTTAAGATTCTTACTTTGTCGTTGTTGTTTGCCAATTTAATTATAATATGCCTTGGAGTCTGTTTTCTGGGATTCATTTTGCTTGGGACTCTGCGAGCATCTTGGATTTGTGTGGGTTTTTTCTTCTCTATTTCAGGAAAGTTTTCTGTCATTATTTCTTGAAATACTTTTTCCATGTCTACCTCAGTTTCCTTTCCTTCTGGAACCCCTATTATTCGAATATTGTTTTGTTTTGTATTGTCCCAAAGCTCCCGTAGGCTCTCCTGCTTTTTAATCTTTTTTTCTAGAAGTTGCTCTACTTGGGTATATTTTTCCATCTTATCTTCTAGCTCACTGATGCGGTCCTCTGCTTCATCTAGTCTACTCTTGATGCTTTCTATTGAGTTCTTCATGGTAGCGATGTCATTTTTCATTTCCTCTTGGTTCTTCTTCAATTCCTCATGGTTCTTCTTCAATTCCTCGTGGTTCTTCCTCATTTCTTCTTGGTTATTGTCAAATTTCTCTTCCATTCTTTTTAGCCATCCTATGATCATTATTCTGAATTCTTGCTCTGGTAGGCTGGTTGCCTCTGACTCTACTTCCTTTTCTGGTGATGCCTGCTTTTCTTTTATGTGCAGACTATGTTTTTGTCTCCCCATGGCCTCTCTTTTCAGGGTGTCTGGTTATGTGGTGTTCCTTCTCCTGCGTTGATTTAAAGGTACAATATACAACACTACCAGGTACAACACAAGAGGCACTTAACAGGAATGTATTTACAATATTAATAACCTCAAATAAAGGTGACCACTAGAGAAAGGCAACTTAGGGGTTAGGGGAGAAGGAAGAAAGGTAAAAATAAAATAAAGAAAATTTTTTATAAAATTAAAATTTAAAAAAAAATTAAGAAAATAAAATAAAAAAAAGAAGGATAAAGAGATAGAAAGAGAAGAAAAAAAGTAATGACAAAATAAAGTTGGAAAACAGGGAAAAAAAGAAAGGAGAGAGAGAGAGAGAGAGAGAGAGAGAGAGAGAGAGAGAGAGAGAGAGAGAGAAAGAAAGGGAGAGAAGAAGCAAACTAAAAGAGAAATGGGAAACAAACTATATATATGTGGAGAAAATTGCCATAGAACAACTACTGAACCCAGCCAATGCCAGTAACAATACTTGGAGATTAATACAAACTACAATATCCACTATTATTAAGTAAGGCTATGATATACAGAAGTAATAGAAACAAATAAAAACAGAGGATTTAAAAAAAAATACAATGCAACAATAACAACACAGGAATAAGCATAACCATTTCACTAAAAAGCATAAAAATTCACAATAATCAACCCTCACACAAACAATGCGCAAAGGATAGAGGGGAGAACAGTTTTTTTTTTTTTTTTTTTAACTAGTTAATATAGTACAGAAATTGGTATTTATACACTTGGATCAGGGGTTGGAACTTAGGTCTATACGTATAGTGAGAGCTTTAGCAAGGGGTATACAGAAAGAATAGAGGAAAATCTAGAGCCGGAAAGGGATAGGATAAACCGTCAACTAAAAGGGTAAAGTTTAGTAAGAGAGTGATGGTGTATAGGTCAAGTTGAGATAGGGTTGAATGATGCTATAGTAGTGATTAAAATAGAATGGAGGTTATTCCCAATGTAAAATACAGGAAAAAAAATGGTACTGGAGAGGAAACAAACAGACAAACAAACAAACAAACAAGAAAAAACAAAGAACAAAAAAAAAAAAAAAAAAGGAAAGAAACAAAAATTGCAAAATAGCAGTAGTAATAGTGATGATAGAGATTGAAAAATGTAATAATTGAAAAGGTAAAATGAAGTAAGGAAAAAAATAGAAAAAATTTTTCTTAAGTAAATGCTATAAAAAGTGAAAATTAAAGATGTAAAAAATGAAAATAAAATAAAGAATAGTAAAATTAGCATAAAAATGTCCAGTAGTGGTCATTCACTTCCTCTGTTAATGTATTTGGCCCTCCTGATTCTCGGACCAGACAGTCTTGCAGTCCCCAGCATTCCACTGCACCTCAGTTTTGTAAGGTAAATCTTAATTTTAAGCAGGTTATATCTTAGTTATTTGTGTCCGTTTATTTTTGATTAATTAAAAGAAAAAAGAAAGAAAAAAAAAAAAAGAAAAAAGAAGAGAAAAAAAAAAAAAAAAGGCAGTTTGTAATTCGGCTCTTAGGTGTCAGTGTTTCCGGTTTGACCTCCCAGTCTTTTTGGTTGCTCTGGCCTTCTTTCTCTATGGCTCTAGCTGGCTCCAGGACTATATCTTCTGGCTCCAATCCCTTGTTTCCAGAAGGCAAATTCCCCCTACAATTTCCCCGGCTATGCCCAACTGGGCAGTTCTTCTCTAGTATTCAGAAGCAAGGGGATGAATGGGAACCGGTGCCAAGGTGTCCAGATGTTCCGCCCTTGGCGGGACAGCCGCGATTCTTAACACTCTGTCCCGTGTCCCCTGGCGTTTTAAAAAAAAAGCCCCTCTTCTGGGGGGGATTACTTCAAACCCAGCACTAGGTGTCGCTGCAGCCTTCTCTGGCTCCGCTCCGCCTCCGCGGGCGGTAGTTTGCGCACCCGTCTACCGTGGAGGCAGGGCTGGAGCTCCCCGGCTACCGTAGCGGAGGCGGGGCCGGAGCTCCCCGGCTACCGTAGCAGAGGCGGGGCCGGAGCTCCCCGGCTGCCGTAGTGGAGGCGGGGCCGGAGCTCGCCGCCACGGAACCCAGATCCCTTAGGCTATCCCCGCAAACTCTGACCTTTCCGTGGGTGACTGAAGATCTCCCCGGAATCCACGTGTCTGCGCAGCTCTGGGAGTCTCAGCTGCTCGATGGACCTCCGGGCTGTGCGTTTTCCACGCCTCAGAGAAGCTTTTTCCTTCCTGGCAAGACAATGCAGCCCTTCCTCCACGCCCGCAGCCCACCGCTCGCTCTCAAAGAGAATTATTTAAAATGTCTTACCTTCTTGCCAAAACTGGTTTGGCTCAGAGGTAGAGTGTCGGTCTGCGGACTGAAAAGTCCCAGGTTCAATTCCTGTCGGGCAGGTACGTTGGTTGCGGGCACATCCCCGGTAGGGGGGTGTGCAAGAGGCAGCTGATCGATGTTTCTCTCTCATCGACGTTTCTAGCTCTCTGTCTCTCTCCCTTCCTCTCTGTAAAAAATCAATAAAATATATTTTTTTAAAAAATGTCTTACCTTCTTAAAAATATGACAGATTGTATCCAAAGCATACGCCCAGGTCATGGGAGACCAGACAGAGTTCTGGAGATGCTGCTGAGGCTCTCCAGCCATCACCGGGCAGGAAGGGAGGAGGGAGCAGCAGTGACATAGAGCTTTAGATCCCAGCCACACATCCCTGCACGTCGTGTTCTCTAGGACGTATCACTAGGAGTGTTACTGTAGATCCTAAGGAGTGCACACCATCAACAAATAATCTCATTCCTCAGTGTGGTCAGTTCCAGTGTACTCGCACCCTCAGGGAATGAGCATGTGTTTGCTCCCCTGAGTGATGCTTGTGATTGTTGTTCTTTTTGAGTTTAGCCATTCTGGTAGGAATGTATGGTACCTCATGGTTTCATTCCCTGATGGTTATTAATGAAATCAGTGTTTTCCAGACTTTGAAAATAGGATCTCATTGAACCTCTTTATAGCAATATAGAAATTGTTTTAAATGTTATGTAATATTGAAACGGCTGCATTATAACTAAGTTAATTTATTAAATATATGAAATGATCACATATGGGACTCAGTTTCTCGTGTGTGTTTTCTGACCACACTTACAGAGGAGTGTCTTGCTAACTTGCATTCCTGTTCGCTGATCCATTTGCTCACTTGGCTAAAAGGCAGGGGTGTGTTGGGAGGCAGCATTGAGCTGGGAGATAGGACTCTGCCACAAAGGGCTGGGGGCCACGGGCCAGTCACCCGGTTTCTGGGCCTCAGTTTTCAACTATGAAAAGAGAAGGATGGAGCGTGAGTGATTTATCAGTTCCCCTCCAGGCCTAATGTCCTAGAATTAAGTAATTTTTAACTTTAAAAAATGTATAGTGCTAAATTTAAAATCTTCATAAAGGTACTTCATAATTTGGAGTTGTCTGCATACCCCAAGTTTTTGTGACAAGAAATAGTATTTATACTAGAGATCTGTTTTGTATATTTCATAAAAATAAAAATTCTTAGTGGGGTTCTCGTGAAATTATTTGGCTTTTGTTTTCCTTTGTTTAACATATTTTTGTTTCTTTCTCTCTCTAGCACATAGATTTTCCTATACCCTGTCCACTTAGGATGTTTGAAATGCTGGTAGTTCCTGAACAGGAGTACCCACTAGTTTGTGTTGGTGTCAGCAAAGGGAGAGACTTCAACCAGGTGGTTCGGTTTGAAACAGTCAATCCAAATTCTACCTCTTCGTGGTTTACAGAATCAGGTTTGTGATTGTTTATTGATTTAGTAAGGCCAATACTTACACTAAATTTATAAGTAATAAATTTAATATTTCTCATTAGGCAAAATAAATGAATTATATATCTCATTAGTGCATAAAAACTGAATCTTGAGTAACTTATTAAACTGGCAAAAGGAAGATGACTTCATTTAAGACAGTCATTTGTTTGACACTTTTAAAACATAACCAGTGGTTCTGTCTTCTCATTGAGTTCCTTTCTGTCGCTCTGTGGCAGTTTATGGATTCTCACGAGAAAGAGAGACAGTTCACAGAGCTAGCATTATTTTGCCTCCTGTCTTCAGAGGTGTATTCTGTTTTGTGAGACATTCTTTTAAAAATAACTAAAGAAATAAAATAAGAAATAAAATATAACCAATGGTTCCCAAATTTGAGTGTGCTCAGCAATTTCAGTTTTGATGTTCATTCAAAGCTTGGGATATTCTACATTTTACTTAATGGAAAATCAAGTCATTTTCAGTTTGTAAGAAGTTTGAGAAATCATTATAACAAAAATGATGCCTCTTTGCATTTTGGTAATGCATCATACTTTTCAAAATACTTGCTTTTTTAAACTCATTTGTGCTCAAAGTAATTTGTTCCACTCACTGACTCATTCATTCAATAAATATTTATTGCATGTGCTAGGCACTGCTATAAAATGATATACAAAGCATAGTCCCTGGCCTCCTGAGTTTAAAATAAAAATTAATTATAACAATAATGCAGAAGATTAGACTCTGATTTCGCAGATGAATAAAAATAATTCTATCGCCAATAGTATGACTGTAGTTATACTCCACTGAACATTCACATAATTTAGCTCTTGCATCACAGTCTGAACACAAGCAACCTAGCTCAGCCACTATGTTTAGCTGAAAATGTATAACCATTTCAAATTCAGTGATGTTCAGAATTCTTTTATTTTTAATGTCCTGTGTTCTAATAATTCCTTTTTTCTGTAAGTTGATTGAGTTTGTTTGTTTACAGATACTCCACAGACAAGTGTTAGTCACGTAACCCAACTGGAGAGAGATACCATTCTTGTGTGCATGGACTGTAAGTTTTTATTTATGTACATCTTATTTTAATAACATTTCTCTTACCGTAGTTTCTAAGGGACTTTTTCTCTCTCTCTAGGTTGTATAAAAATAGTAAATCTCCAAGGAAGATTAAAATCTAGCAGAAAATTATCATCAGAACTCACCTTTGATTTCCAGATTGAATCAATAGGCAAGTCACTGTTTTGGATTTTTGTTTAATTGCATTATTAGTTACTTAAAATAATCTATTTGCTAATTACCCAAAATTATAAAAATATATTACTAAGGACTTATTTTTTAAAATATAGGATATAATAGTCAATATCAGTCTTCACTTTCATACATTTTCTAAAATAACTTAATAACCATGATACAACCCAAATATTATCTCCTTTACAGATTTTGTACTTTTCAAGAGAAATAATTATTTCTTATAAAGTTTTGAATTTCTGTTTCTTCTAATTTTCCTATAAGTACTTTAGATTTTAGTTAATATACTCTATTATATTTTTGGCTTATATCTGCCAATCAGAAAGTTTTAAGTAGTATATAGAATTTCCTTCCTACATTTTGTTTGACAAGAATTTTTTTCTGAGAAGGGATTTCTTACATAATTAGTATTCTAAAATGATTACATCCCGGAAAAATAAGGTGAAATGATTATATATGAGATAGTGCTAGGGAAAATGAAGGATAATTCGTTGTTTAACTATACACAGTTTCTCTGGTGACCTTAAGCAGTAAGATAAAGACATTTGCATATATGTCTGTTGGTAGAAGTTAGGGCAAAGGACAGATACTTCATTTGTCTTCTTCCTGGTTCTATTTTTACTCTTTCCTCCAACTAGAACATCTCTCCCGAAAGCAATTGCTGATGATAAGAAGTCAATTTTAAGGAACATCTGCTCAAAATGTTAACAAGTAATCCGTATTTAAAAACACATAGCCAGAGTTTAAAAAAAAAAAAGATAAACCTTTTTTTTTTTTTTAATCATTTTTTTAACAAATATTTTTGGTAAATTTTCTTTTTTCTTGTCAAAAGATAACTAATTCTATATAGTATTTTTTATTTCAAAGGTAAAGGTGCCATATAAATATGGAGTGATTGACATTAGTTATTAATTGAAATTTTGCTATGCAAGGCAGGGGAGGGGAATGATGCTTATCAGTTGAACTTTGTGCTATTAACAGTAACTGAGCTGTTCTTGCCTGCTAGTTTGCCTACAAGACAGTGTGCTAGCTTTCTGGAAACACGGAATGCAAGGTAGAAGTTTTAGATCTAATGAGGTAAGTCATCTTAAAAATTATACCCATTAAATAGTCATGAGGCATTATCAAATTCTACATCAAACAGTTTTATTTAATATTAGAAAATGTCTCTGGTACAGGGAATACGTGATTTGCTAACTTTATTAATATTTACTGTATTCAGTGTAGTGATAAAAGTAATAGCACATACTATACAGCCACCTCTCTCTCCCCATTTACTCAGACAATTTTAGTGCCTATTTCATGTGCTTCCAGATAATCAATCACCCTTATATTCAGAACAAGAACTTCCTAATACAGCTGAAAGTGAGCCAACTGTGATTTTCTCTCAGCCTTCCCAGACGTCACCTGGGACAAGAGTGCTGATGCTGGCTCTGTCATGAGCCACTCTCTACTTGGTTTTCAGAAATGATGACCAGTGCCGTCTATAACAGCTGAGGGTCTCCATTGAGAATGTTGGGGTTATAAACATGAACAAGATGTGTTAAAATCATCAAAAATTCTTCCAGTATCCCAAGCCAGTCTCGGTAGGATAGCTCTTACTTGAACATTAGAGGGAAAGGAGAACCTTAGGTGTCTCAAGCAAGAAAAGAGTCCAGTGATGTCCTAAATTGTCATTCAGCTCAGAGCATGTCTTCGAACAAAGCAGACAGTCTAGCCCGGTGCTGGTGGGCTTGGGTCAGCGTCACAACACCGGAGTTCAAGTCTATGCTCTGCGCTTTCGTAACTGTGGCCTTGGTGTATCACTTACATTTTTATATTTATTCATTTGTGAATTGAGGATAACAAAATAGTACTTACTTCCTAGGTTTGTTAAGGTTAAATGAAAGTTAGACACCTGAAACTAAAATAAAACTGAATGCCAAGGGTAATTGAAAAAAAAAAAATTAAAAAAGGTTAAATTAAAGGAAACATGTATTGCGCTTGACATAATGCTTGGCCTATGGTAAATAGTCAAGAAAGGTTGCTGTTGCCAAAACCGGTTTGGCTCAATGGATAGAGCGTCGGCTCGGGGACTGAAAGGTCCCGGGTTCAATTCCGGTCAAGGGCATGTACCTTGGTTGCGGGCATATCCCCAGTAGGGGGTGTGCAAGAGGCAGCTGATCGATGACTCTCTCTCATCGATGTTTCTAACTCTCTATCTCTCTCCCTTCCTCTCTGTACAAAATCAATAAAAATATATTTTTAAAAAAAAAAAAAAAGAAAGAAAGGAAGGTTGCTGTTAATGTGTATCTGGTAGCAATGCCCGCAAGAGGGCCACTTCTCTGGGAGATGTTTAAAAATCGCCTGAGGGAACAGAACAGGGAGGTGAGAACAGTCAGCAGCTGATGAACAGTCGGCAGTGAAAGAAGAGCATCATGGGAAGGATACAAGAGGGCTGTTTAAAAAAAAAAAAGAAAGAAAGAAAGAAGAGTTGGTTCCAAAAAACCACCTGGCAGGCTTTTTCAGATTTCACGAGCATCCCTTACTGAACACAATCCCTAACAGGCAAACCCCAAATACCTTGAAGATCAGGCATGATGCGCCGCTTGTACTGAGTGAGCTTGTTACAGCCTGTCTCCTTCAAGTGTGCGGGACACAAACAAAGTCAGGAATCCCTGGAGTTTCCACAATAACTGATGGTAGCAGTGCGGAGAAATAAATTTTGTTTCAAAATCAAACTGTTTCTCAGCCTCCCAAATTTTGGAGAGAAGTTACATCATAATTTGAAATGTTTTGCAGTCGGTAACTAGTGGGGGAGTTTTTTTTCTCTTATAGATTTATTCTTAACTCCCCAACTGGTGAGAACTTCTTGGAGAATATGGGGGGAAAAGAAATGGAAAGAGGGTTATCTATTGAGCACACCTTAGCTAGGCATTATACCTACTAATACATATAAAAAACACCGCAAAATACTACTACCACGTAGATATTTTCTATCCCTTTTTGCAGAAGGCAAAGCTGTTTCCAGCAAATTACTGACCTTGTGCCCTGTCACAGCCAGTACGTGGGAGAACTGGGATTCACACTCAGGCCCTAAGTTTGTCCCTTCGGACCGCTCTGCAGCCGTTCGGGTAGAAAGACCACATCCAAGTGGCTTCCTGCTGCAGCAGCCTCGCCGTCAACAACCGACAAAGCGTTTCTGATGCATACAGCAGACTGGGTGCTTTCTTCTACAGTTCCCCCTTGGGTTCCATCATTTAACCAGTAAATGGTTTTCCTACTCTCCTGTTGTATGATTAATTCAAAATTAGCCACAATTTTCCCTACACAGACAAACTGATGCACCAATATGTCGACTTAACAAATTCACTGTCATGCAGGCATCTGCTTCCGTCACAGGAATGTTTCTTTCCCAGGGTGCAATCAGTTAAATGCCTGTAGAAAAATTTTTACGTCTTCATGTCTTTAATTTCAGAAATTAAATTTATATTTTAATTGAACAGGTAACACAAGAAATTTCAGATAGCACAAGGATTTTCAGACTGCTTGGATCTGACAGGTATGAAAGGGGTTGTATTTTTTACAAAGTATTAAGCATAGTGTTTTATAAATCCAGCATGAAACTGGTTTCTTTTTCTAGAGAATAGAAATTTCTGCAGTAATATACTCACCATTATATTTTCACACAATAGAATTCACAAGTCAAAGTTTTAAAAGCCTTTGAGAATGTGTCTGATCTTCCAAGAAATAGGAATATATAGATCTGTCAGCAATAGTTTTGTTTTAAATATACTATCTAAACTATATAACACAAGAAAGAAGAAATACAGTATGCTAACAAGCAGAAACTTTATTTCAATGCCAAATAGGATTTGAGGTTTTAGTCTGACTTATTTTCTGACTTTCGAACTATAAATTGTTTTTAGAAATTTTAATAAAAAGTTTCCCCACGTTATTCCTAATAGAGGTGGGAGGTGGTGCATAGCAAAATTACTTCCCAGAGCTAAACTGGCTCTTTAATCATAGTGATTTACAAGTGATATTTGTCCCAAAAAATCAGCTAAGCAGCATTCTTAGAGGCATACAATGAAGAAGCAATGGAAAATTTTTCTGTTAGCATTAGTTTCGAGAATAATTTCTTGTTATCTGTTTTTGTTTGTTTATTGCTTTTAGGGTCGTGGTTTTGGAAAGTAGGCCAACTGATAACCCCACAGCAAATAGCAATTTATACATCCTGGCGGGACATGAAAACAGTTACTGAGAAACCTTCTTTGACAGTTAACTATGAAGAAAGAACACTACCGGTGCAACACTAATGGAAGCTTGAAGCTGTACAGAGGCTGCGGTTACTTGTAATTTATTGTGGCATGAGACAAGATGGGGAGAGCTTTTGTTTTAAGTGGTCTGGATATATTTAGCATATTGAACCACACAAGTGCTTAATTCATTGTTATGTAATCTTTGTACATATAGGCAGTATTTTTCTGTAAAACTTCATATTGCTGAAGACATACACTATGAATTTATGTAGATAATGTACTTTTATGAGATGTACAAGTGTCTTATCTGTACAAATGTAAATGTTGATGAAAATGCAATTGGGATTAATATTTTAAGAATTCTTTAGTATACTCTTGGTGTGACTATATTACAAAATGGGATGCTGGCAATGAAACAGTACACTTAACACTATTGTATTTTTATTATATGTAATTTAGTAATATGAATATAAATCTTGTAACTTTTAAAGTTATAATGGAGGCTGTAATCATTTTATAATCTTGTTTTTTAATTTTAATGCAAGTACACTGGTGTTTATATTTGCACAAAGTGTTGATATGTGATGTAGTAAGTCACAAAAGTAAGCTGTGACATTGTCAATATGCATTTGGCTCCACAACATCTTCTTTTAAATGTATTTGGATTGTTTTCTATGTGAAACAAACCAATTAACCACCTGTTGTAGTAACTGGTCTTTTTATATTTAAGCAGAATCTGTAAGATTGCTTGTCTGTGCTTAAAAACAATACCTTTGAAAAAATTTTGAGTCACAGAATAGCGGTACCATGATATAACACTGCAGTTGTCTGAATTACAGTATGCACAAAGAATAAATTAGCATTATTAAAGAGTCCACACTAAACATTTCATATAATCACATTGAAGAACTGTAACATTCCATAGAGTGAAGTGGTTCAAATTTCTAGTGGAATTTTTACTTTTGTTGGCCTTATTTTATGATCATTTTCCTATTTCTTTTCGTTTAGAGTTTAACTCATGGCCAAAATAATTTAGTTACTACCTCATATAATCAGTACAATGGTTACTACACATCACAGGAACTTAGTTTTGGTTCAAGTCATTTTTTATTGCTTTTTTCCAATTGAATATGTATATACCAAGTTTTAGCAGAATGCACACTCTTGGTTCTTTTTTGGTATATGGTCTTAATGGTTTAGGGGCCCAGTGTGAGAATTTGTGCACCTTGAAAGGAACTGTGGGTCACAAGGCTGCGCTGGGCACAGGGGCGGGTCTCTGCTCATCCTCTTCACCCTGGCCTGGCCCCTGCCACCATGGCCCCGGGTCCCCTGTCTGCCAGCAGCCCCGCTGCTGCCGCCACCGCCGCCACCACCACTGCTCCCACACACTGATGGCATGGAGCAATTGGGGCTGGCACCATCACCAGGTGCGAGCAGCAGCTGCTGCCCCAATTGCCTCTCAGGAGCAGGGGGCGATAGAGAAGCTGCAGGGGCAATCAGGGCCGGCAGCCATCACTTGCACCCGCTGATGGCGCTGACTGATCAGGACTGGTATTGGGCACCAGCAGCAGGTCCAAGTGGTGGCTCCATCGTGGTGCAAGCGGGGCCGGTGCTGGCAGCAGGTGCGAGCGCCGGGCGGGACCACGGCACGCAGGAGCAAAGACTTTTCAGTGACCACCAGAGCCTCTCCCTGATGACAGTGACCGGCACCTCACCTTGGTCTGGCCCCCCCACTCACCTGCTCCACCGTCCCACCATAGCCGATGCCCGCCATGTTCCTCACTCTGTCTCCTGCTGCCAGTGCCCACCATGTTCTGCACTCGCACTCTGGTGGTCAGCACACGTCATAGCGACCGGTTGTTCAGTTCCACGCCACAAAACCAGTGGTTTGGTCTATTTGCATAGTAGCCTTTTATTATATAGGATGTGAGTATTATACACTAAGAACAAACTAAATTATGATTTATGGTCTTCACTTATTTTAATTGACTATGCTTTTAAATATGTTCCTGGCTGTACATAGTGTAAAATAAACATGTTTTTTCTAACATGCTGTTGTATAGTAGCTTGTTATCTGGCTTCATCTACATTTAGTAAGACTAAAATATATTGAGAAAAAATGTTTTTAAATTATATTCTGCATTCAATCCTTAAGGATTCATTCTGGTACCTCAGATCATCTCTTTTTCTTTTTTTTTCTTTTTTCTTTTTTTTTTCTTCTAATCTTTCAATTTCATTAGGGAGTAATATTCCCACATTTGAGAAAAGGAAGTCTTTTGTAGAATCTTCATCTTCCTGATTGGGAAAATTAATTAAACAATTATAATCTTTTGGTTAAATCAGGTGTTGTCAGACGGCATACCTCAGCCCATTCACACTTACCATCTGACTTTGTAAATAAAGCTTTATTAGAACACACCACTCATTTACTGTTTCTATGGCTTTGGCACCACAGTGGCAAAGTTGAGTCCTGTTGCAAAAAAATAACCAAAAAACTATAACCCACAGAACCTAAAATACTTAGCACCTGACCCTTTATGGGAAAAGTTTGCTGGCTCCTGGGTTGGGGGAGGGAGACTGTTGGGGAACACAGTTCTTAGGAAGGAAGGGGGAAGGTTGGGTGGGAAAATGGGACTGGGGGGTCACAAAGCGCCTTTTCTATTCTTGCTAATGCGACTGCCTGTTGTGACCTTGGGTAATTTACTTGACTCTAGAACACTCTCCTTGACTAGAAATGCAGCTTCTAAATCATACAGATGTTAGTGATCAAAGCAGTTGTGTACCTTTACAACTTTTCCCAAACAATGCAGTGTGGCCAATCTTAGCATTAATGACTGAATAATAACTTAAAAGTACATCTTTACTAGTGTAACATCATCTATTTGCTGAAAATCAGACTCATGGAAAATGCTTTTGAGAAATCAAGATCTGCTCTTGGCATTTATTGATAAGGTTGATGAGCTTTTTTGTGGGCCACTGTTTTTCCAAGTTTCTAAATCTGACAAGTTATAGAAAGGGTCACATCTCAAAAAAAAAAAAAAAAAATCACATTTAACTGTCAATCACTTATAAATATTTTCATAAAATATGGGATACAACTGGTTTTATGTTACCCATGGGCTTTTTTAAAATAATAGATCCCTGGAGTCATTCTCTGGGGGAGAGGCCCAGTAGCCTATATTTTTATAAAGTTGTACAAGCAATTCTGATGTATAACCCTGCTTGAGAACCTGGGGTCGGCACTGAATTTAAGTCAGTGTTTCTTGAGTGTGGTCCAAGGATCACATGCCTCAGGGAAAAAAAATCATCTTTAATGACATTTAAAAATGCAAATGTGGGGGCTCCACCCAGTGACTTGATGAAGGATTTTTATTCACTCGAAAGGAAGAGAATCACTTGAATGTTAGAAACAACCTATTTTGTCTTCATTGAGGTTTGCGTTACTTATTTTGTTCGCTACTTGCTTAAATCTCGGTGTTGAGAAGAATGGAATCAGTTGTTTCTGGGTCTGTTGGCATTCAGTTTGCAAGAATGCCCCTGATTTCAGCAGAGACCAAGAAAGGACAGATAGGTCACCGCTTTTTACTATTACTGGAAGAAAGAGTAAAGTGTGTGCTACCCAAAATAATGGGTACACACTAAGAGTATTACTTATGGGACAAAGTATTGATATGTTTGTAGTAATAATATGGACCCAATAGATGTATCTGTGTGCCAGGTGCTATACCACGTTTTACATAGATTCTCCCACGGAGGCCCAGAAGAGCCCAGTGATGTAGGTATTATTAATGCCAATTTACAGATGAAGAAACTGAGGCTCAGGAAGTTTAAACAACTTGCCTAAGAATGTTGGTAAGTGATAAAACTAACACTTAACTCGTACTAAACTATGTATCACACAGAATACATGCAGTATATTCACTCCTCTGTAAAATACACTTGCATGTTTTGCTTTGAAATTAGATTTCTTTTCTCCAATTGGGAATTGAACTTCAAATTCTGATTTCACTGGCTCTTTGCAATAAGAGAAATTAACTTACTGTCTTAATTTTTTGCTTTACTAAAAAGCATTTTCCTTATTCAAAGGATTTGCATAAATTCAATTTACAGTGAAAGCTTATTAAATAAATCTAGTTAAAACTTATTACAAAGACTTTTTTTTTACTTTTATGAGATAATTATTTACCCAACATCTATTAATAATTATTTACAGTGTGTTCAGGCATTACTGTCACTGGAGGAAAGATGGAAAAGGCATCATTCCTAGTATCCAAGGGGCACACGTGGGCGACTAAAGATGAATTTAAAAAGAGGTACAAAAGGTTTCCCCGCTTTGGGAAAGGAAAAGCCTTTATGTAGAAAGTTAAGTACAAACGAGGTTATTAATGAAAAGAGCCGAAACTGGTTTGGCTCAGTGGTAGAGCATCGGTCTGCAGACTGAAAGGTCCCAGGTTCGATTCCCGTCAGGGGCATGTGCGTTGGTTGCGGGCACATCCCCACAGGGGGTGTGCGGGAGGCAGCTGGTCGATGTTTCTCATCGACGTTTCTGGTTCTCTATCCCTCTCTCTTCCTCTCTGTAAAAAACCAATAAAATAAATGAATGAATTAATGAATGAAAAGATTTTATCAAGTACAGGGAAAAATCAGAGTAGGTGCTGTAGACTAGACCCATGGTCGGCAAGCTCATTTGTCAACAGAGCCAAATATCAACAGTATGATTGAAATTTCTTTTGAGAGCCAAATTTTTTAAACTTAAACTATATAGGCAGGTACATTGTTATTAACTTAATTAGGGTACTCATTCCATCGCACTGTACATGCGCGCCCACACGTGGTATTTTGTGGAAGAGCCACCCTCAAGGGGCCAAAGAGCCGCAGTTTGCCGACCACTGCGCTAGACTAAAACATATGCATATTGCTGTGTGTTAAACATAGCGCAGAGTAATGCCCTGGAGGCAGAGAACAAGAATGGGCCTGACTGGGAAGAGCCCCCTCTGGAGAA